GAATCCACCAAATTCGTCCTCTGAGGTGGTAACGGCAGGGAAATCTCCTTTGAACCCCCCCACAGGACGCGGCGCTAGGGTCGATGCCGCTTCACTGATGGAGCTCAGTGGCAAGCTAGCGCTTGACTCCGGCGGAACGCTAGCATTTGCCTGTATAGGATTTGATTGTCATTTTAACGTGAATCTCGTCTTGCTAATTTTCTTCACTTCTCTCCTCGTGATTTTTAGGGGTCTTTCAGTCAAAAGTATAGTGGCTATCGCAAAAGAAATCGAACTAGATCTACTGTAGAGTCATTAGGGAGTCGGGAAAGAGTGAACCATTCCCAACACAGTCTTTGTCTTTTTCTTTGCCTTCCCTGCGGCGTCGCATTCACCAGCGACGACACAACAGCACACATAATTTGTGTGTGTGTGTGTGTGTATGTGTGTGTGTGTGTGTGTGTGTGTGTGTGTGTGTGTGTGTGTGTGTGTAGTATTCCATGCTGTGTGTATACTAACGCACCTCCATAAACTGTCAAGACTTCAAGCTGTGGCGTCCATTTGTTGTAATGTGATGAAGAGCCACCTATAGTGCCGTGTGTGTGTGTGTGTGTGTGTGTGTGTGTGTGTGTGTGTGTGTGTGTGTGTGTGTGTGTGTGTGTGTGTGTGAGTGTGTGTGTGTGTGTGTGTGTGTGCGTGTGTGTGTGTGTGTATGTGTGTGTGTGTATTGGTCCATAGCCAGAAGGCCCATTTTGATATTGGCCTGCTTCATGTCCTCACCATGGGGGGGGTCGAACATCAAAAACCTCACACCTTGTACAAGGTTATGTCTTCACTCTGGGGCGACCGCTGACAAGACGAGAGGCGTGGCCAGTGAGAATGCTGATAGTGTGTAGATATGTGTGTGTGTGTGTGTGTGTGTGTGTGTGTGTGTGTGTGTGTGTGTGTGTGTGTGTGTGTGTGTGTGTGTGTGATTTTATCCATCTCCAAATGTCATATATAAGCGAGCGACTACATTTGCAATTGCAACGAGCTGGAGCTTTTATGAGCACTTAGCGCCACTTGTTGGTTATTAGCTTCACTCATTAAAATGTGAATGCCGTTTAAAAAAAAAAAAAAAAAAGAAAGCGATGAGTCAGCCCCTTTTTCCGAAATCATCTGCGTCGGGATGAGGAAGTAAAACAAAATGTCCGACTGCTCGGAGGCATGAGGCAGCGACGGGAGAGTGATTTTTGGTGGCCCGGTTGGAACATCGAAACATTCAGTCAGGACAGGAAATGGAGACGACCAATGCAAGTGTTTCGAAGTCATTGGAAGCACATGGGATGGAACATTTCATATTTGATATTATGTAACTGATTATGTAGTGTTTCTGTACCTTTTCATCATACGTTGATCAATCGGCAAAGGTGGAGGCGTGACGACGAGAGGAAGGAAAATCATCCAGAATTTCCAGACATTTCAAATGTTCCAGAGAGGGTTTTTTTTTTTTTTCTGAAGCTACATGGGTGTCCCGTGTGATTGTGAGTGCGAATGGTTGTTCGTCTCTGTGTGCCCTGCGATTGGCTGGCAACCGGTTCAGGGTGTCCCCCTGCCTACTGCCTGAAAGACAACTGGGTTAGGCTCCAGCACGCCCGCGACCTTTGTCGCGACCTTTGTGAGGATAAACGGGTTAGAAAATGGTTGCATGGTTCTGTTTGTCATTCCTGTTGGTGGTGTTGTTGTGCACGGCGGTGAATCTGCAGGCCCCGTCCGTCTCCCAATAGCTCTGCTCATATTCTCCTTTCATTGCCCCTTCCGCCATTTGTTCGTTTTGCATCTCGCAAAAAAAAAAAAAAAAAAACTGTCTGCAATGGCGCAGTGTTCTACCAGTGGCAACATCTTTTGTCAACGACGTGACAACCAACTGCCAGGAGCTTTGCCCCGATATGGAGCCAGCCAGCATGCACTTGGCAACAAATGTTTGCCGGAGGAGAGCAATAACAAGAGCTTGCAATAAAGGAATGCAAAAGAGAGGACTAAAAAGAACCATTTTCTCGGCATGTGTGTGACTATCCAGTGGTTGAATTAACAGTGGTTAAAAAGACTGCTTTTTTTTTTTTTTACATTCAAATTTTAGCTTGCGGGTAACATGAATGACATCATGCAGGCTGTAATTGCGAGATGACAATTGCACCATCCTGGCGCACTCATACAACAGACTTTTAGTCATGTTCCACTCTGGAGATGCGGCACATCATTTCATCGACGACTGACCGATTATCAAATCAATCCATCACTATTTTTTCGCAACAATTTCGACCTGTTTACCTTTGAACTGTCCAAAATCCTGACAGACATCTGCTTTTGTGTTGAAAATCACAATGATCAGCATTTTTGCCGATTTTCTGACTGACGTAATGGATGAAAACAGTTCCCGAATTAAAGGTGGAGCGATTATTATTCGACATGCTTGTGGAGGCTCTCAGTCGTACAGGAAAGTTCCATCGTAGAAAGGGTTCTGTCAGTCGTCATCTGTACCTGTGGGTAAAAAACAAAAAAAGCAAAAAAGGACGTTTCGCTTCTCTCACAGAAGCTTCGTCAGCGGTAGACAACCCTGAAGTCTCCGTGAAGACTCCGGGAAGTTGCTCTGCGCTAAAAAGCTGAGCGTGGCCTGTTTGAGGACTGGGTGGGGATGGTTAGTCACGCCCCTATTGGTTTATTAGAGGCCCATTGGTTTCTAAATTCCCTATCATTGGGTCTTGATTAGGCCTATTGTTTGGGCTAAGGCCAAGGCTTACCCACAGGTACAGATGACGACTGACAGAACCCTATTATTCGACATGTAATCGATTATCACATTATTTGATAAATATAAATCGCATAAGATTTGTCGTTTAGAGATCGTGTCTCATTGAAAATTGTCCAAATCCTCGGAATTTCATCCACTAAACAATAATTACTGTCCATGAAAGAGACAATCTAAAAACATCTGCTTTAACTTTAGAAAACCACGATCAACAATTTTTTTGGTCAATTTTCTTCCACGTGACAGAACAAACCTCATTCTCATCAACAAACAGTTGTGTGGACTGTGCAACCAGCGCGAATAAAACTCTGCACCTCTTGCCTGCCAAATGCCAAATGTCTCTTTTGTAGCAGATGTGTGCGTCAGACGGCCCCAAGGTATAAAATGACTCTCGTGGTAAAGATTGACTCTCATGCGCTGACCTCGCTCGCCTCTTCATCTCCTCCTCTTCCTCCTCCTCATCGTCCATCCACTCGCTTTCCGCATTCCGTCTTTCATTCCAACATGGTCGCTCTTGTCGGGGGCGCGACCAGATGGACGTTAAACGAGCTCCTGACGTCACCGGGCCAAATGATGCTGTTGCCACGGCGACAAAGCGCCGGGCTAATTGGCGCGCTTCGCTCAAGCGCCAAACGAGCCGTCCGCCACAGAAAGACAGCAACCAGACGGAAACGTCCCGACCCCCTCCGCCGACGCCCTTCAAGCGGTGTTAACGAGCCCGCACGTTTTGATGGACGCGCTCAACTGACGCCTCATCAAAGGCGCGCTAATGTCCCACCAAATCTTCATTAAGGTTGACTCTGGCACAAAATGACACGATTTAGATTCGGGGAAGAGAAATATTCCTCCTCCTCCTGGGCAATCGGCCCCCGTCAGGGACTTGCCCCCCCTCTCCCGGGTCCCACATCCGGTACGACTCTCGCTGGTGCCTCGCGAGGTTCACACCCAGTGCGGGCCGCGGAAGGGCTCTCACCTGATTATTGTTTAAGGAGGGTTGTGGGACGGCTACTCCCACTCCCCTCCGTTCCGGCGGGGCGAGCGCTGGGCGCCTCACCTTCCGGTGAGACCCCACCTCCTTCCCCGCCGGCCGGTGGGCATTTAGCCGCGTCTGGGGCCCAAGAGCCCCGGCATTCCCCCCTCGCGCCACTCGGAGTCATCCCACCACGCGACGAAGAGAAATATTCATCATCATCATCATCATCATCATCATCATAATAATAAATCTGTCAAATTTCCAGCTCTGGAATTCGCCCAAAATGGCTCCTTCAAATTAAATCGCTAACTTCCTGTTCAAAATGGAGACTCTTTTTGTCCACCGTCACCTTGTGACTATCGACACCTTTGCTCAATTTTGCGTTATTCTATTGAGTTGGTGTCTAAGACTGATATTATTTCTAACTTTCTCACAAAATGTGAGACCTGGAATTCCACCCAAAAAAAGGCTGCTTCCAAACAAAAATGGCCATCTTTCTGCTGAACTGGGAGCATGGGTCCTTGCGATTTTTTTTTTTGGGTGCTTCCTGTTTGTGAACACACAACAAAGGAATGAATAACATAAACAATTCTGAGACAGACCAGTCTCCTGCATAATGCTACATTTATTTTAACCGTTTCATGCACCCTGTAACCTGATAACATGATAAGCTGTCCACTGGAGTAACCACTGTCCCTGAAAGGGTTAAAAGAGGAATTTGAAACAAAGAAATGCTTGCAATATATACATGTTTTTAAAAGTGGAGACGATTTGCATTTTCGGTATTTAGCAACAAACGTTAACGTTGATGCACATAATTTGCTTTTGGCAGGCCACATAGAACGATGTAGCGGGCCGGATTTGGCCCCCGGGCTTTGAGTTTGACACCTGTGGTCTAATTGACTGCAAACTTTCTGATGAAACCTCATGTCAAAGTACAAGCCCTCGATTTTACCTGAAATGTCTTGTTGGGGGCCCTTAATTTAATTTATCTGAATCCCAGTATTATGACAATTATATTACTTGGTCCAGAATAATGAGTATAATCATCAGAATAACAATCACAGTTAGCATAAATTTGCTTCTCGGTATTTGACTCAAGAGGACAGCAGACGCTGGAGTGGAAGATAAAGTCAGGTCGGTCCCAGGACGTTTTCTCCAATGAAATCTGGCGCGTCTTTTTATGTTCTGTGAAAATCACAACAGTGCCATCAAAAGCGATAATAAGGTAACAAAAACATGTTTTTACTACACGGCAGATGGCGCCGGCGTCGCCATTAGGCTCCCCTTTGAAAAGCTCCGCCTCTGCAGCATGTTGGCGAGCCAGCTCGGATCAGACAACACTCGGCAATTCATCACTTTCAGGTACATTTGTGCTTGATGCTTCTTTGTTTTTATTCACTTGCTCGCTGGGTCTTCGGTATGGATTTCCCTGACTTCATAACGCATGCCGGTACATAATATGCAGTCAATCAATAGAATAAAAGAAATAAATGTCAAGATATAAACGGAATAATTAATATCTAGCACCACATAAAATAAAATGGATACAGGATTGTCATGATTTTGTTTTTGTTAAGGTTTGGTTTTGTTTCTTGGTTTTGTCTCCTCATGCGCGTGTGTCTTCCTCGTTTGGTTTTGGTTCCACCTGTTCTCGTCATCCGGGTCCCTTGTGTCAACCAATCAGCTCCCTCAAGGCCTTTTGCGTCTTGTCCAGGTGTTCCTTGTCGTCTCGTCAGTTTGCTTGTAATTTGCTTCCCTGGGTTCTGTCAGTATTTGTCGGATCGTTGCAGATGACGAGCGAAATGTTTAGCCAATCAGAGGACAGAAAAATGCCAACATCATCGAGGGCCAGCGCCTGCTCAGAACACTGATTGTTCCAGATATTTAAAAAAAAAAAAAAAACATGAGTCATACAGCTCGACCCGAATCCCTTCCGACCCGAAAGCCAGTTTTACTTAGCAACATGAAATTTGGTGGACGTGCATATGTTTCAACCCACAAAAAAAGTCTGAAGAAGCCAGAACCCAAGTCTTCCATTTTGGTTTGATGAGGCCATTTTTGAGGTCATATCCAGGGATCCTGGTTCTCTGAATGATTCTTTTTTATTTTTTAAATCCAGCCCATGAAACCTGTTTTATGGGCTGGATTAAAAAAAATGAAAGTTTGGAGACATGTCTGATATTACTAGACCCACAAAAAAAAAAAAATCCCTGAAAAAGACACGAAAGTCTGACATTTTGGTCTGAAGCAGACATTTTTCGGGGGTCATTTTGGCGATTGTCCAGATATCCAGAATCCTGTCTCGCTGTACACTCTTATCACGTCGTCCATCTTTCACGAGTGTGTCTTTCACCTTGTACGTTGGTATTTGCATCTGGCGAGCAGACGCGCCTCCGCAGCAGACTTGACATCTTCATGATCTGGGATGTTTTCCGGTCTTGACGCCCGACTGGTCTCAGTGACCTCGTGTCACAACGTTTCACATCCGACGGGAGCCTCGCCGTGGCGCCTCCACACCGCGCACGCACCTGAGCTGCCGCTTTGTCCACGAGCACCTCAGACGTGTTGTTCCATAAGCTCGCTGCTATTTGGAGCGTGTATGAGGGTCAAAGCCCCCCCCCCCCCTTTCCTCACCAATGCCATATTTGCCGCCTTCGCTGCAGGGCTCATAACTCAGGAAGATTCCATCTTGACGTCTCTCTCCATGTTGGAGGAGGAGCCTACGCGCCATATGGACGCAGAGGGCTGCTCGGACAATGTTGCAGCAGCGGGCCAGCTTTCGCGCTGCTACTGTGCCGGAATGCGCAAAGGACAAAGAGGCAATCTGTCTAGTCTGATACATCACGTACATCTGGCGCATGTGTTGACAGCATTTTCGACAGCGTTTTTGGAACACAACACAGACCTCTGCAGATCCATCCATCCATCCATTTTCTGAGCCGCTTTATCCTCACAAGGGTTGTGGAGCGTGCTGGAGCCTAGCCCAGCTGGCTTCGGGCTGTAGGTGGGGGACACCCTGAACTGGTTGCCAGCCAATCGCAGGGCACGCAGAGGCAAACAACCATCTGAGCTCACACTCACACGTAGGGACAATTTTGAGTGTTCAATCAGCCTGCGATGCATGTTTTTGGATTGTGGGAGGAAACCAGAGTACCCGGAGAAAACCCACACAGGCATGGGGAGAACTTGCAAACTCCGCACAGGAAGGCCTGAGCTGGAATCGAACCCGGTACCTCTGCACGTTGAGGTTGGCGCTCTAACCACTCGTAGAATGTTGTGGAAAAATACTTTTTTTTTTTTTAAACCATTGGATTGATTCTAAATATTGCTGCTGATAGATAATGCCGCATTCAAAAGCTGTATATCGAATTGCTTTTATTTGTTGGACAAATTTTCATCCTCAATGACAACATAAACAACAAAAAACAAACAAACAAAAAAAATCATCCACTTGGTTGAGGGAAACATTTAATTTAGCATGTGCACCATATTGACAAATTTTAGGTCGTGAAAAAGCCTCGGACTTGTCAAAAGCTTTCAAGCTTGATTCCCGTTGGAAGCTCGTGTCAAGTAATTCAACAACGTTGCTTATGGCTGGTTGAAAGCGAGCCAACATGGCTGCTACGACATGGAGCTAGTGGAAGGCGCCCAAAGTGTGTTGTGTTGGATTACAAAGCGTCTTTGCATGTCTCCTCAATGTGGTTGTGAAGGCCGAGCCTCATGCGACAGGGTACCCCTTTGAAAAGAAGTCCCCACTGTCATCAGTTGCTAGACAAATTGTTAATGCTCAGATACCAATAGAAAGTGTCAGGCAGGGGGCTTTTGACAAATTGTGTCATGATGCTTTGCTGTCCCATCAAGGCGCTCTCTGGCCTTGATGGGACCAGGGATGGATGTAATTAATTCCGACTAAATGAGCAGTGGGTGTGTCTATACGTGTGTGTTGGAGAAAGCCAGAAAGTGCTGCGTGTGCATGCGCGTGCGCGCGCGCAAAATAATAAAGTGCACGTTGAGCAGAAACGGTGATGATGCCAGCAGTCAGGTAGAGAGCTCCCAATGCGGCGGCCACTCTTCAGCTTTTAAGCCGTGTCATGAGTACAAGTCAACGTGATTAAATATGCACTCAACCCCCGTTTATCGCAGGTGATACGTTTCAGGCCCACCCACGATCAAAATCAGAGTATGTAGAGAAACCTGTACCTACATATATATAGATATATATATATATATAAAATGTATGTATATATGTATGTATGTAGTGTGTGTGTGTGTGTGTGTGTCTGTGTGTGTGTGTGTGTGTGTGTGTGTGTGTGTGTGTGTGTGTGTGTGTGTGTGTTTGTTTATGTTATGATGGCTTCAAGATGGCGCCGCGAGAATGGTTGCCTTTACAGCGGCTCCTATACTTTTCGTTCTTCTACTTTCTTCCTTTCATAACTTTGCTGCTGTAAATTGTGAATTTCTCCATTGTGAGACGAATAGTTTTTTTTTTTTTAATTTTTATTCTTATACCTGATTACAGTTTATCATGTAATCAGGTTACAGGGTGCATGAAAGGGTTGAAGAAATAAGAAGAAAACAAAAAATAAGAATGCCTGAATCTCTTGTTAGTGCGGATGTCTGAGTTGCCCATTTGCAGTATGTATTTTCAAATAAATGCATGTAAAAACATTAATTCTTTGAAATGGTCATAATAACAATTGATTAGTCTTTTTTATGAAACAATGTCCAGTTTTTGAGTAAAGGATTTTTTCTAATCCAATTTATCGATTAATCCACCAAAAATAATTGACAAATTAATCAATTTATTAAAATAATTGTTAGTCGCAGCCTGATATGTTTCTGACCCAGTCCAATTGTCAGTGTTATGTTAGACAATGTCCTACTTTTTGTGTTTCCGATAACGTCCATGCGGCCGCGTCTGCCATCTTTGGCCCGTGGGGCGAGTTGACCTTTGCCCTGCACAGTGGGCGCTGGCATGTCAACCGGCACGGCTCTCGTACGACATGACTCATGTGAGAGGACGAAGCGTAACATCGTTTAGTGCCCCGTCGTCCTCGTCTCTGCCATGACGGCGGCGTTGTCGTGACGACGGCAAGACGGGAGCGCTTTTCCTGTGTTCGGCGAGCGCCGGGTCCCCCGGGGCGCCGCGTCCGCGTCTAATGAGTCCAACTCGTCCGGCTCGTCCGTCATCCGCCATCAGCGTCAGGGCCGGCCAGCGCACGCAGCTTTCCTTACCTTCAGCACACACGAGTGGAAGTGACGCTCATCCTCGCAGCAGCGGCAGCATATGGCCGCCAGTGGCGGGCCCAGTCCGCTTTAGTCGAGTCGACAGCCGCAATTATGTAACTCCGTAAGCCCCGCCATCCTCCGCATCCCCCCGCGCGCGTTGTTTCGCTCCACAGCCAACGTGCGCGCAACTCGGCTTCCGCACGCCAGGCGAGGTGAGGACGCGTCGAAATGGAGAGTGCTGAAAAGGATGTCGAATGGGCGTCTTGAAACGCAAACCTCCCTCAGGATCGTTCGCCGGCCGGCTGGCCGCCGACTTCAAAAGCTGCAATCCGACATCCCAAAAGGCCGAGCTGAGCGCTCGCTTCCTGTGGCTTTTATCGGTGACACGAGCAGAGGACACGATGGGACAAAATTTGACACGATGCTTGATTATGAGGCGCAATCGGAGACATGATGCGGCACTGTAGTCTTAATCAAGGTGATCATAGTTCACAAAAACTAACGAAATGACGACACTTAAAAGTGAAACTACATGTTCCATTTGTAGAACGCAAGCTAGCTATGAATTATATAGTTAGCAAAAGATAGTTTTCGTTCGTTTTATAACTGTCAGATTTTGTTACAGTTCGTTTTCGCTTGTTTCGAAGCATTTTTGTTTTGACTTTATTTCGTGAACAAAAATGTGTTTTTCAAAAGTTAGTTTTAGCCATTACGCTAGTTTTTGTTCACGGCAATAACCTTAAATTGTACACGTGTGTTGTTTCTAGAGGTGTGACAATTTATCAATTATGCTTATAAGTAACTCACAACTATTTGTATATCGTATTATTGACCTTATTTAACTTAAAGTAGTCCAAATCGTCTGACTTTCAGCAGCCTCGCAACTGTCAATATTCGCAGAATTGTGTCACCCTCCCTGAACGTGAACTTGTTCATTTTTGTTTCGGCTTTTCAAATGAAACATTTTCCACACTGATACATTTGAAATAAGCTGCTGTTTTTGAATAAGCATATTGACATCTTGTTTTTATCCAATTCATTGATTCCTTGAAAAAAAAAATACAGATTTATCATTTGTTGAAATAAAGACAGCCCTAATTCTCTGTTTGTGGTGCTGCGCCATGTGTGTTAAATTAGCACTTGCTTGAAGGCTTGTAATTAGCAAAACATGTATACTCATTTCTATTACGCATTTTATGTTTGCGTTAAGCTCGCGGACATTTGTTGGATGAATCGTTTGAATGTTTAACTGTCTTTTGTTTTATGTGCTAATTTTACAGGAACTGTGAAGTGTGTGTAAGAAATAACTTGAAGCGAGCCCACCGGGCCTCTTGTTTGGAGACGTGAGCACGACAAAGTGAGAACAGGCGCCAAGGAATACTTGGTAAGTCGTGATACGTTCAAAGTTCCGCTTCATGGATTTTCACCGTTGTGTAGATAATGTCGTGCTTTAAAAGCAGATGTCGAGGTGGGAATAGAACAAAGACTTATTTGGAATAAAGTGCGACTTGTTTGTCTTGATGAGCACGCGCCGGCCGCAGCGGGGCGGCGGCTTCGGCGGCAATGAAGAACGACGACATGAATATGGATGCGTACGCCGCATCAACAAGTAAATATTTGCAATTAGCCCGCTGCGCTACATTAGCGCCAGCGCGTTCACTCATGCGTGCCGCCATCTTTTATGTATGAAGCTAAAGCGGTGCTAAAAGTTGCGCGTCGGGCCGCGGGACACGTTCGACCAAATCGGAACATCTCGCTGCAAATATTCATGGAATAAATAACCTCAATAAAGGCGTCTCCCGTCGAGCGTGAAGTCAAATGTGTGCGCTTGATGACTCAAAAGGAGCTTTTGTGTTGTTGTTATTGTTGCTGGGGTTTTTTTTTTCCTCCCCTCTTTGGTGGGGGGGGGTGTACGTGTATGAAGAAGAAAAAGTGAAGCTCCGGTCGGCGCCGCTGCATCTGTTGGTGCCGCCCGCGGGAGCACAGCTGGGCTTTCGGCCTTGGCGGGACAATGCAGACGAGCGCGGGACGACCCATCGCTTCTGCTTTCATAAGCCGCACGTGGAGGACGGTCGCTCGTGTTGTGCACCGGTGCGAATGTTTGCCGACTCCCTGATGCTACTCTTGCAATGCAATCAGCATTATTGATTTTATTTTACCTACAGCATGTTAGCGCTTTAGGAAAATCACACACACTTCATACGTGTGGTAAGTAGAGGTGCAACAATGAATTGATTCATTGATAACTCATCCATTGTCACGTGAATCGGCGACTATTTTAATTACCATATTTTCTGCACTATAAGGTGCTTTGGAGTATAAGGCCTATTTAAAAACTGTTTTCATATAGAGGGCGCACTGCATAATAAGGCGCATAGAATAGAAGCTACACCTGTGGCTGCGGTTGCGCTATGCATCCACTAGATGGAGCTACTCTAAAGGGAATACAATACAATACAACACAGCCTTATTGATATAGAGCTTTCAGAACCGCTGCAGCTGTAACAAAACGCATTACCGACCAATGATTTTACGACCTCGGTACGACTTCATGACGGGATGATGTGGTAGCGTCTGGCCGTGATGCGGTTGGCGTGTGATGTAAGGCTGAGCTATTTTGGATCAGCCTCCCGACCACAAACCTGCTGAGCTTGTTGAAGGAAATGCACAAGTGCGTCACGCGCTCCGTTTAAAAAAAAATTTTTTTTTGAAGCAGAGCAGTTCAGTTGTCTTGAACTTTTCATGCTACTTTTTATATCGTGGTTCCTGAACCCTTTCAGGGACAGCGGTCACCACAGTGGACAGCTTCTCATGTTATCAGGTTCCAGGGTGCATGAAAAGGGTTAAAATGTCCACTGCAGTAAACGCAGTGATCAGGCAGTCGAGGAGGAATGAATGCAGTCGGAATCATTCATCATTCCCGGCTCCCTGAACACTATAAACACATTTTTTATATAGAGGCTGAGTCATCAGTCAAATGAAAAATAGTTTTGGAACACTCCTGGGCTGCTGTTAATTGCGGCTTTAGTGTCACCTCACGTCCTGGATTGATGTAAGATGGTTTGCCTTCCGTAATTAATATTGAACCGATAAATCAATTTTGAGCACACTATTGCTTTTTTACACAATGCACAGGTTGTAAAGTTTAAGAAAATAAAAGTCTTTGCATTTGCTTCCACTTGTTCAAGAATAATGGTGAGAATAGCATATCTGGACTTGTTAAATTAAAAACTGCATTATTCAATTACTCCAAAGAATCCGAATGCCAATTTAATTGAAATTCTTTGGAAATTACAATGGCCATGACCAGGCTCCAACCTGCAAAGGTGATCTGGCAAAAGCAAGTTGGAGTCAAATTGATGACGAGTACTGTTGATCACTCATTGAGTCCATTCTTCTGGGACTGCCAGCTGTTAGAAAAATCAGTGCAGTGGTGGTGTGGCAAACCCGTGCCTGCGTGGGTTTTCTCCGGGTACTCCTGTTGCAGTGTTTGTTTTTTTCTCCAGTGATTCCATAAATTTTCCTCTCTGCTTGGTCTCAACAAGTCACTGTTACAGACGACCACATTTTCTTCCCCTTGATTTCCTTGAGGGTTTCTGAAAGGCCGAAAGTTGCCATTAGAAATGAACTTTGTGTCATGTCTGCCATCTGCTTTTTTTTGTTTTTTTTCTACAAAATTAAACATCTGAAGGGCGGCCCGGTGATCGACTGGTTAGCACAGCCGCCTCACATGCAGATGTCTCGGGTTCGATTCTGGGCTCCGGCCTTCCTGTGTGGCGTTTGCATGTTCTCCCCGTGCCTGCGTGGGTTTTCTCCGGGTACTGCAGTTTCCTCCCACATTCCAAAAACATGCATGGCAGGTTAATGGCACACACAGACGAACAGCCATCCACGCTCACACTCACACCTAGGGACTCCGCCCAGAACAAATTTCAGTGTAAACGAAAAACATTCCAACAGCACTCCAAAACGGCCATGTCACTATCAAAGCCGCTGCTGTCTCATGGAGGCAGAAGGAAGTGATTCCCAACGCAGCCTATAACATCCACGCGCTGCTCGCTCGCAGCTCTCCAGCTTCTCATTTCCTTTTTTTTTTCCCCCCCGTTTTTTTGAGGGGGGGCTTCGTGTGTGGCGTTTGCGCTCGCGAGCAGGTTAGCATGCGAGCCCCGGGCCGCCAGCGCAGCCGCTCTGACAAGGTCAAAGTTCCTTTCGCATTCTTTTGTCATTTACGCTTATTTCTTTTTTCCTTTCCCGGAGGCTGACCTTCACCGCCGCAACCACCTTGTTTCCAAATAACAACAAGACAAATTCATTGCTCTTCCTCCTCTTTCTCGTCTTACATGAATTCCCATGCGGCCAGTCTGTCTTTTTACTTTTTGAAATTATTGCGAAGGAAATCTTGAGGCCTTACTTCCAAATTAAGTCACTGTTAGGTGCTGCTTGCTTCCTATTCTGGCCAATCAATTGCTTCTTCTTATGGCTGGCTGATGTGGCTTTCAGATTTCTGTTTTTCATCGATTTTTTCTTTTTTTTTTTTTTTTTTTTTGCTAACAGAAACCAATCACCTTTTTTCCACAATGTTACATTTTCCTTTTGAGGGGCTTTGCTTTATTTCTCCTGATATCAAACAAGCTTAAAAAAATCCCCCCCCCGCCCAACACAGAAATAAAATAAATTTAAAATGTGATTTCTTCTGTATTCACGTAGTTGGCTTTTTAATTTTTTTTTTTCTTCTGTTTTTTTTTTTTTTTTTTTTTTTTTTTTTGCTAACAGAAACCAATCACCTTTTTTCCACAATGTTACATTTTCCTTTTGAGGGGCTTTGCTTTATTTCTCCTGATATCAAACAAGCTTAAAAAAATCCCCCCCCCGCCCAACACAGAAATAAAATAAATTTAAAATGTGATTTCTTCTGTATTCAAACGTTTTCTGCAGAAAAAAAAGAAAGAAATGTACTGATTGAAACAATCAAGAGGAGTCCCATTGACTCCATCCAAACGTGGAGTTTTTAACAACACTTGAATGATTTACAATCTGATTTACAATTTACACACACATCAAGGGAAAAAAAATTATCAAGACATATAAATACGTCTTGAAAACCCGCTATGGCCATCTCCCCATGACGTATTTATACGTCATTCCCATTTTTATTGTTATTTCTTCATTAAATTTTTTGAGGATCAGGCTTATCTGCATTGTAAATCGTTTAAAATCTCTCCTCCATCCTTGTACCACTTTCCTATTAAACGGGGTATGGGCGCCATCTGTGGCATCTTCAGGCAGTTCAGTAAAAGCAACATAAAACACAAATAGTTGAGTTTTTTTTTCTTTTTAATAGTAAATAACTGCCGATAGGTTCCACAAAAAAAAAAAAAATTAATCAATAACGCCAGTGAATGGCCCATCCATACAATTTGGAGAGAAGCTATTAAAAATTGAATTTTCCATCATGTTCCCTTTAATGAACATGTTGATGGAATTTTTGAGCAAGTAGGCGGTCAGACAATCACAGAATCTTTCGCAGCTTGTTTTAATATCGTTATTTTAAACCTGTATCCGCTCCAAATATCCCCCCCCCCCACCTCTTACAGAGGATGCATTGTAACGGCCGGTGTTTTATTCATGAGTGCCATCATTGTACGGCTAGAGGTCGTCCGAGCCCTGCACCGGCGCGCTCCAACCAATTACCTGTGTGTGTGTGTGTGTGTGTGTGTGTGTGTGTGTGTGTGTGTGTGTGTGCGTGCGTGCGTGCGTGAATTCATGCTTGATCGGCCAAGTGCGTGCGCGCGCGTGCGTACGTGCGTGCGTGCGTGCGTGCGTGCGTGCGCGCGCGTGCGTGCTAATAGTTTTCCTTTACCTCCATTCAAGTGAGCTGTTATCTGGGATTAAAAGCTCTCTCCAGCGTACAACTGACGACCTTGGGACCTGCCAGTGTTTGACCTTGACACCTTAACCGTGTCGGCGCTATGAGTCGGGCTCCCATGGATCCAATCCGACCGGAACATATTTTTTATTTCTCTTCTTATCGAGTAGCTTTGATTGTCACCCCTTTCCAATGTTGTTCGCAGATTGATTTTGCTTTTGTGAGTAAAAAATTGGACCTTGGTCGCCTTTTTCAATCTTCCATTGAACGATTCGGTCAAGGTGTTCACATGTTGAGCTGAAATTCTGATGGATAGGAAGGTCACACGGGACACACTTCGTGTTTGTCGACCTCAATATGACCTTGATCCCCATGCGTCCTTCACCCGCCTACCGTGCAGTCAGCTATGTGGAGGTGTGATAATACTCGGGAAGAATTTGAAAAGAATATTTTCGTTTTTTTTTTCTCGTACGTCAAATTTGTTCCCTACAGCACTGGTGTCAAACTCGAGGTCCGGGGGTCAGATCCGGCCCGCCACATCATTTCGTGTGGCCCGCGGAAGCAAATCAATCATGTCAGCTAGCACGATCCTTGCTAAAATCTGTACCTAAATGTCAAATTTCATGTGTAATAAATAACACACATATTTGGCAATAATTTTGTTTCCCTGTTTACACTCACTTGAACAATAATTGAACATACTATTGCAGTTGACTTGACTGATTTCAAAACTAGCAATCGATCAATTTGTTGTGTACAAGTAATAATACGATGAGACGATTAAACATTTATTTGGTTTCACTGTCATAACGGCCCTCCGAGGGAAGACGTAACTCCAAAGTGGCCCGTGACAAAAAGTGAGTTTGACACCGCTGCTCTACAGCTTCACAAATTTCCGCTGATTAGCTGTAGTAAGACGTGCCAGTTTATCACGATTGGACTCATCTCCAGTTACGTGACAACTTGTTTGTGAAGTCACAATTGAGTCTGGTGAGAGGTGTGTACAGCTCCCAATAGGCCAGTGCGATCAATATTAGCAAACAGAAAGCTAGTAAAGTAGCAATGAAGAGGATTAGTCCTGGCTTGTCTCTTAACCTTTTCAACAAAGGCATACCATTGTAAATTGTATTTAGAGCTCGTAACTCTTGCATCTTTGTGTTTTATTTACATACACTTTTTTTTTTTTTTTTTTTTTTTTTTTTTTAAAACAAACGCACCTCGCTCAACCTAACTTGACACTTACGCGTGCGCACACACACACACGCGCACTGTACTAAAGGTCAGATTTCGTTTTTTTTTATAGCTTGAAGAAAATGAAAAGTGACAAAGCGCCTTTTGCTCAATTGCCCGCAAAGCTTCGTTTTTCTCTTTGTTCTACTTAGTGTAGGTAAGCTAAGCCCTCTAGCGCTGCTGCTCTGACACCAAAACGTCCTCTTTCATGCGTGCTGTGCAAATGAGGGCGGTGGAAATGGCGTCTCTCACTCTCTCTCCTAGTGGAAAAAGCCGGGAGATTCATTAGTGAGGCTAAATGAAGAAAGGGAGCGCGTCTCCGTGTCACGGCCATCACGCCTTTGCTCTAACTGCCGGTGTGAAGGAGACAGGTTAGCCATGCTAACATGTAGCGGCTAACCTTCCTGTGTCGTTTATGCGTTGCACTCCCAACCTGGCGTAGGTGGGTCAAAATATTGATTCATCGATGAACATTGTGGCATGTTCTTGTTCACTCTTTGTTGTCACTTCAACCTGCTGGTCAGTGTGTGGCCCCGCCCCCTGGCTGCCTTCCTGACCTACTTGCGAGCGGACCGCCACGCTCTCCTTCCTGCCCTCTCGCCTGTCGTCCTTCTCAGCAGACAGGAAAATGAATTAAAAATTGTAGTGCGGACGACCAAACGTGATTGACCAAACTCTGCCGCTGCGGCATCAATTCAAATTGGTTTCTTGAGCGCCTCTTTTCAGCTTTTTCAGTATCAAATGTCCTTTTAAAAACACTGAGCGCGCTAATTGCGATTTTATGATGACTTGCCACCCCCGCCCCCCATTTATTATTATTATTCTTTTTTTTTTAACAATACGATTTATTTGGATTCGTACGTAAGCACTAATTCCAGTTACAATGGAGCAATTAAGGTACTGGTATACCCTCACGTGCAACATTGATTCAATTTGTCAAATTAATGAACAACTATTTTGATCTTGGGCAGCCCGGTGGGCCGGTGGTTAGCGCGTCAATCTCACAGGGCAGAGGTATCGGGTTCAATTCCAGCTCCGGCCTACCTGTGTGGAGTTTGCATGTTCTCCCCATGCCTGCGTGGGTTTTCTCTGGGTACTCCGGTTTCCTCCCACATTCCAAAAACATGCATGGCAGGCTGATTGAACACTCAAGATTGTCCGTAGGTGTGAGAATGAGTGCGAATGGTTATTTGTCAATGTGTGCCCTGCGATTGGCTGGCAACCGGTTCAGAGTGTCCACCGCCTACTGCCCGAAGACAGCTGGGATCGGCTCCAGCACCCCCCGCGACCCTTGTGAGGATAAAGCGGATCGGAAAATGGATGGATATTTTGATCATTTTAGAGATCTTGTTTAACTTCAGATTGTTCCAATATCAGCCTCTCAAGATTCAATCTTCTCCCATTTCTGCATTCCTGCATGAAAGCAGACTGATTGTTTTTCTCTCAATAAGATATTTTCTTCTGCTTTTACTTTGGAAAACAACGATCAACATTTTTTGCAGATTTTCTGAAATGCTATGGACCAAACCAGGAACTTGAAATTTTGTTTTTTTTCAATTCATTGAAAATAATCAATAAAAATAATCCGTTACAAAAATGTCTCCGTTTGATGAACCATGAAGAGAATCTGTCAGTTTTCATAAAGGACTGCAGACATCAAAGATTACTTTGGTGAGGTTGAAATTGTGAGGATTCTGAAAATTTGAACTTAAACAAGGTCTATAAAAGATTCCCCCTGGATCAAAATCGTTGTCGATGAATTCGATTATTGTTAGTTGTCGATGAATTGTTGCACCTCGAGTGGCATCCCCTAACGGATTGTGTTTGACTGTGGAGGTATGGCTGGTCACAATCATGTACAGGAACCAGTCGGTGTAATTTTCTGCTCAGTTGTCGGGATACACTTTTGTGACTATAAATAGCAGCCGCATTTACATGAACAGCTTTAATGGCCACATTACACTTGAAATATTCAACACTGCGTGCCCTATGTTCATTTTAAGGCTTCCTGGGAATTGTGTGGAGACGCCCGACCCGAGCGTCCCCCGTCATCCTGACGACGCAACAACATTAATTCCATTACTCGCTAATTAGACTCTTGCGCGACAGCAGAAATCCGCATCGTAAGCACGCATCGTAAGCACGCAGGACAATTAGGTTGGTAAAAAACACTTCACAAAGGTTGGAGAAAAGATTGTTTCTTGAAGAGGCGCGAGAATTAATTAACAACTACCAACGAATCGATTATCAAATTAATACACAACTATTGTGAAAATTAATTCTTCATTTCGAGACCTCGCTTACCGTAAAAGTGTCCACATTTCATCCTCCTTGAAAGCAGATGGTTTAGCTTTCTTCTTTTTTTTTTTCAAAATAAAACATTTGCAAACTTTTACTTTTACATTGGAAAACAGTGAGCAACGTTTTTTTGCCGATTTTCGAATTGAGGTTACAAAACTAACCAGTAACCGAATCATCATCAGTTTATATGTGTGCATTTTCATCACTTTCAGTTTAAAATCCGGTCCTATTTTACAATTAAGTCGACAGATTGCTCAATTGTTGAAATCTTTCATTGCAGCCCTTCATTTTACAATTTCCTTCTGTAAAAATGCTGAGTCAACCTGTGTTTATTCATTCTTAAATCTGTTTATCTCAATAAATAGTGGATTCATTGCTCTATTGTAAATTATCAAATAAAAATGGTTACCTTTATGTATAAATTTAATTATTCATGTGTCGTGATCAAATCTCCATTAATTTTAAATAATACAATAAAAACATGAGATTTTAGTTTTTTGTAAGCTGTTTCACAAAACTGAGTGAACACTGTTTCGTCTTGTTTTTTTTAATTTTTTTTTTTAGGGCTTACCTTCATAAGTGACACGCGTGACCAGTTTTGCGACACTTTTTCATCTTGGACAATAGAATTAAATTGCAAAATATAATTGAAGACATTTAAATGAACAGAAATAGTCATTGAATTAACCTCAACCTGCATCTCAAAAATAAAGACATTTTAATAGCCCTAAATTCCACATTGTTTTTGTTTTTTTAACCTGTAGCTGCTCACGGAAATTGACGTCGTCCCAACATGTCACCGTGCAAGCTCATGACGTCCTCCTAATAATGTCAACGTAGCGTTGCCTCCAAAATTATTGAGTTGGTTGACAAACGTTAGCCTCAGCCAATCAGCATCGAGAATCCTCGGCCGGCGGGCCAACGGCGGCGGTGATGGGCGTGTCTTGTGGAGGGGGCGGGTCCGGCGCTTAGTTTGCTAAATGACTGCAGCACGAGCATCACACGCGGCCGTGGCGTCCCTCCTGATGTGACGTGTGACGCGCACGGCGCCGCGCTCCTTTCCACTCAACTTCGTCTCGTTGGTGGCGGCGGCGCGAGCGGCGTCGCGAGCGGCGTCG